CTGCAACAGGAAGAGACATCACCAAGGAGCGGCTCATAAGAACAAAGATAAGTCAAAAAAAGGCGATTGAAGTAAGATGAGTCAAGTCTGCAATTGGCAAAACAATTTAGCCGAGGGGATCTATCTGAGACAAAGAATATGAAATTAAGGACTAAAGGTATATATGGGCCAGATATAGGTCTGTGTCGTGTCTGTACCTGAATGAGAGATGACTGGTGACATGCTTGACCGCGGGGGATACCAGTCAACAAGCACATGAACATGGTAGTATGCTATGATTAGATGGGAGTGTCAACTTGAAGGACGAGAAGAGTGTGTTTTCGCGATTCAAGGGAAAGCAGGTAAACGGTGCATTTTCACAAAAGTGGTTATGACTTATGTCTGACACAGGGCCCCAAATAATGAGACACAATGTGGGTGAGGATGAGAAAGACGATAACGAAATCATAGGTTAAAGCCTGTGGAGAGGAAGATTACCAGGCATCATTTGCTCTAAATCCTCGAATATGGCGAAATCGAGGATAGTAATTAAAGGCTCTTAGCCAGCCAGATTTCAGACAGCCAAACAGAAGCCAACAAAGAGGAACAGATTAGGGAGGATAGGGAGGAACAAACAAAGCAATTAGCAATCAGTCCTTTAGGCAGATAAAGAAATGATAGTGATTAGACAGAAAACATTACAAGAAAATAGAAGATATAATATAAGACAGTATCACTTATCGTGTTCTAAAGAAGGATCCAACTATAAAGATCAATGGAAAATTACAGGGAATCTTAAATTATATGCAGTGGAACGGCAAAATAAACTGATGGATAATAAATTCATCCAGAAAAATAGATGCACGACAAACAAAAGCCTACGGATTACCGAAGATAAACAAAGAAATGTATTCACCCTATTTCGTCTAAGGTGATGAAGGACTGGTAGTAGAATTTTCCCACAATGATATGAGTTGAGCTGACGGTTTCATTGAATAAAGGTGATGAAGGACTGGTAGTAGAATTTTCCCACAATGATATGAGTAGAGCTGACGTTTCCATTGAATTAGTTGATGAAGGACTGGTAGTAGAATTGTCCCACAATGATATGAGTTGAGCTGACGTTTCCATTGAATTTTACAGGGTGGACTGCAGTTTCGACCTAGCATCGGTCTTATTAATAGTCTCGCTTTCCCAAAAGTTATTCTCATCCTGGGTGGACTGTAGTTTCGAACTCGCATCGGTCTTAGGTTTGACTCCCGCTGAGGGTGTTGATATAACCGATACGAGGTCGAAACTGCAGTCCACCCTGGATGAGAACAACTTTTGGGAAAGCAAGGCTATGTGAA